AGTCAGGACATGATCAGGTGCCAGCGGCTGGGAGAAGACGTCAGTCGCCTCAGGGTGCTCTTGCAAGGGCTGGACCACGAACTGGTGGAGGGGTGTGAGGCCGGAGATCGCGCTGACCATCCTGAGGAGCAGATGGTGGGCCAGTGGAGAAATTTCATTGTATGTTTTTTTTCTTCTTTTTTTTTGAAATAGCTCCGCAGTAGTATAATTCACTATACATTAATGGAAATGTAGTCAAGATGCATAGAGAGAGATATACTGTATCTTTTATTGTTTTTGTAGGGGCCAATGTCTGATGTGAACTAAATGAATTCAGACAAATTATTCCAATTCATTCATTCATTCATTCATTCATTTTTCTACCGCTTAGTCCCTGAACGGGGTCACGGGTGGGGCCGGAGCCAATCCCGGCCGGCAATCGGGCGAAGGCGGGGTACACCCTGGACAGGTCGCCAATCCATCGCAGTATTCCAATTCAAATGATCATTTATTATTATAATAATACAAAGCAGGGGATAGAACCACCTTCTCTGCAGAGAAGTAAATAAAAGTATTAAATAAGAGAATTGTCAAAGAGTCAATCTTTTAGTCACACAGTCATGTCAGTCGAAGAGTCAAGTCAGTCCCCTCTTGTCTACCCCTTCGCTTGCTCCTGTTCGTCTATCTTCTCTGTTTTCTCTCTGATTCACTAGTTTTTTATTATGTCCTCCTAACAGTGTCCAACCTTACGTCACTTCTCAGAATGTGCTTTGGAATATTTCATCAATATTATCTCCAGGCCAAGCTGACCCAGTAGGTTAAACAAACAGGCCATGAAAGGAAAAGAGAGGCAGCATTTATGTTTGTACAGTACATCTATATACATTATGGCAGAAGAGCTTTCAGACTGATATATACAGTGGTTATATTTACAATTTATTGCACTGGGGTGATGCTGTGTCCAGTCAAACAGTCATGAGTTAAGTGTTCATCAGTCCTTGTGTCTGGTTGTCTTGCGTACAGTGACCTTTGCAGCTGTCAACTGCTGCGTCCTAATAAGTACTGGGGTTGACAATATCCTCTGCCTGGATGGTAGTGCAGGCCCAGCTAGTAGCTCTCTCTCCGCTGGGCTCTGGCTCTCACTTGTCCTCCCATTTCCCAGGGAAGTGATTTAATCTTAGGCTTAGCACCAAGAGAGTTCAGGAGAGGACTACTACTTGTAAATTTATTGCCAGGCAGACTATCCTCCTGTTTCTTTATAGTCTGGAGGGTGCTAATTAGCCCTGAGTCAGCATTCTCTTGCCCGCTGCTTCGAGTCCACACTAGAGCAGCATCATCCCCATGCGATCCATTCTTTTCCACATCGACTTCTATGAAATGTAGTTTCAAGCACTACAGTCTTCTGGAAGAGATTTATGGAAGTCTTGTGTTGTTTGTAGGCCATGTGTACTCGAGTAATAAGTGTTAAAAAAAATATGATCATAACCTTCTGTGTCTAATATAAATTAGGAGCCCAGTGATTTAAAAGTATTCAGCTGTCCATGTGTTGTTAACAGACAAAACCAGGATATCAGCAAAGAATGTAAGCAAAACACAGAGCAAGCAACACGAAAGAGCCTTTTCACAGTAAGAGAACAGGAAGTAAAAGCTCAGTCTACACCGATCAGACATATTATGACCACTGGCAGGTGAAGTGAATAACACTGACTATCTGTTACAGTGGCACCTGTCAGTCTGTGGGGTATATTAGGCAGCAAGTGAACATTCAGTCCTCAAAGTTGATGTGTTGGAAGCAGGAAAAATGGGCAAGTGTAAAGATGTGAGTGACTTTGACAAGGGCCAAACTGTGATGGCTGATGACTGGGTCAGAGCATCTCCCACACTGCAGGTCTTGGTGGGTGTTCTTGGTCTACAGTGGTTAGTACCTACCAACAGTGTCTAAGGAAGGACAAATGGTGAACTGGAGACAGGGTCATGGACGCCCACAGCTCACTGATGATGAGTTTGACCTACTGTAGATTAAACTTTTAACTTCCATTTGTACTTTTCAAAAGATTAGAAATGTATTTGAATCTTTGTTAAAATGGTTGAAAATGAGAAATACTGTACATTGGTCTCTATGAAGAGAAAGAGTCAGGGGCTGTAGTGGTGATATCACACCTAGAGTGGTGAGGCTGTTGAATTTGTCTAAACAATTCTCTCTAACTCGTCCTCACGACCACAGTTTTCACTCCTTTTACACAAGTTTTTCACTGAATTGTTGACACATCTGTGCTCTTCCTGACAGTAGAACTGTGGAAGTAAATGGATTCATAGAAGATGCAGTGAGCTGCAGAGTGACACGAGTGTCAACCAACTGTCACATTGACTCCTATGTAAACAGTAGTAGGCAGGTGGTCATAATGTTATGGCTGATCGATGTATATACACTATACTGTATGTTTGTACTATACTTTCTAATTAGCTGAATGACTGTATAAGCTGTGAGGGACATGTAGGCAGTAGAGTGACAACCTTTGATTTGTGTGATTTAAAGAGTTATGTGGAGATTGCTCTTTACTAAATGCAACAGATATAAAAGAAATTGATTAGGAAAATCTTGAGTTGGTATGGATTTATAAGTCGGGTGAGTGATAAATGTCAATAACATTACCAAATACACTTTTCTGTGTCAACTGGATTTTACTATTAATATATTTACAGTATTTAGTGGCTCACTCTGCCGAAATTCCCCACATCACTAATTCAGAATTACAAATAGGGGGCTGACTTACTTATTGACTGAATCACATTACATGAACATGGGGTTAAACGGTATAGAGTATAGCTGAGTGAGTGTGCCGCTCAGGTCTCTAGGGCAAATCTCACAGCCTATGATTTGTGCTGTTGTGGCCTAAATTCACTTTGCCTGTGTTTCATATCTGGATGTTGCAGAGTGTGAGGAATACACTGGCAGTGGAGGAGTCCCAAGTGGAACTTCTCAAGGCTCAGCTTAAGGAGCTCTTCAGGTTTTCAGAAGACTCGAGACACCTTTCTGATGATGTCCTGGCTGTTGTCAAAGAGCATCAGAGGTATGTGACGGGAAGCCTACCACTGTTGAAATCCCGGAAAGCCAAAACCTTATGGATCGCATGTAGTCCACATAAAATCTGCAAATAAATATTATTAAAACTGAGCTACAGTACCAAATGCTAGTTTGCTTTCATTTCATTTAGTTCTCATTTGCCGAGATCAAACCTTTCTTGATTTACACTTAAAATACTGAAATGACTTTGTCTTAGAATATGGTGTATAAGTGTAAATTACTCCATTAATAGCTTGAAGATGGTTTCAAATAGTGAAATGGCCCAAGAGGTTTCTGTGAATGTTTAATTTTATCTTTTAACAACACAGACCCTGCACGTACTGCATTCCTCCAGTAAGATGTAACATGCAGTTCAGTCCTTGTATCAAGATCTGAATTAAGCTCAACCATGACAGCAGGTCATCCTGCTGATCTTTTAGTGCTACATTCATAGATATGTTTGGCTTCTTCCTCTAACTAGGAGGTAATGATAAGTGGGATTTTGGTTTAGAAGTCTAAAAAAAAAAAAACATCATTTGAATGAAATGGCCTCATGTTTTGCTCTGTGAAGTACAACTGACCACTTGGCACACTATTGTAAATGTTGTAGCTGTTCTGCTCTGTGTTCTAAACCTATTTACTTTACTATTAGTTCCTAATAATTTGAGTTTGCTTGAGAGAACTGTGTGATTTGTTTGTAGTTGATGGTTAAATAACAATATAATACACAAATTCAAAATTGTTATTTAAGTGAATTTAGGTTTAAAAGCAGCAATTTTTGGAGTAACATACTTAAAAGAACAGCTTCATATTTTACTCTAGATGTTGATTCATTATTGAAAACTTTGTTGAATTTTATGCTCGTCTTACAGTTTTGAATGTTTGGCTGACTGGTTTGCACTGATTAAAAACCACTCCATTATTCTAGCTTAACGGTTGACTCCACTCCGTATGTTCTCTACTAATTTTTGGAAGTGTTTGAAAGCCTCCTCTACAAAGTTCTCTAATGGAAATTTCTTGTGTGTTTGTAGTGTAAAATGCAGAGCCACCAGGCTTTGTTCAGAGTCAGAGTCAGAGCTGAGAAACATCCTCCACTACCCACTTCTGGTCTACGCCCGATGGAGCCCCATGGTCTCTCAGGTGTTGGAAGCTTCTGCGGAGGTCACTGACTTCTCTGACATTCCCATGTTGGTCCAGAGAATAGAGGTAAACACAATTTCCTGTGGAAACCATTTGCTAGTTTCCTTATTAATGTAGAGGTCCTCATGAGCTTGAAGAAGGGCATTTTAATTTTGGGTTCACACTGACTTATTAGAAATAGACCAAGAGGATTAAACATGAAGTCATACTGACCTCATGCTGCTTTTCCCCCCATTTGTTCCATTTTTTGTCTTGTCTCTTAGTTTCTGGTTGCTATTTAGCAAATAGTAAAGTAAAAAGTTAGGTCCAACAGCTTGACACATTTGTCAAAGGTGAGAACACTCAACCAGCAAATTTTTAAATTGCTGGTCTGGAATCAGACTTACTAATTAAATGTATCCATTTAAAGCATATCTGATCTGTGTAATATAATGCTGATTTTATTTATAATATACACCAACCAGCCAGTTTAATAGTCACACCTGTACAGTTGTATGCACTTCAATGCAACACTTCTGCCTGAACATCTGTGTTTATGAAACTCAGAATGTTGCCGTTTTTGGTAAAATTGTCATGAAGGTATAAATTTAATTATATGATTACTACTGAGGTCATAGTTAAAAGTGGTGTTGTACTAGGCTACATTATATTCAGAGGTGTTTCTGTATTTGTGTCCTCCCCAGCTACATACATGAGACAGTCAGATTATTAGGAACACCTCTGAGTATAATGTAGTCCAGTACAACACCACCTTCAACTATGACCTCAGTAATAACCAACATATATTTGAATGTATACATTTATGACTATTTCATCAAAAACTGAACCATTTTCAGCTTGATAAACACAGATGTTAAGGCAGAACTGCTGCTCTGAATTGCATACAATTGTACAAGTGTACCTAATAAAGTGGCCGGTCAGTGTATAAAGTATAGCCAGCCAATACTGCAGTTGGATCTCATATGTCATAAGTAATGATGGCGTTAAAGATGCGTCTGGTACATTACAGGTGATCACTATGCTGCCTTGGCAGAGTCATTTAATAAAACAAAAGAACAAACAAACAAAAAACATTTCACCCCAGAGAGTAATGACAGTTTTGCTAACTGCCTCCTTTGCAACAGCAGTTTTTCTGTTGCCCACTGTGGGATAAATGATTGCCAAACAAAACATTTGATAGCAAACTTTATTTAAACTTGCTGGCTAGCTGCAAGCTACTCTGTATTGATGAACAAGGCTATACACTGGAACATCACAGAATGGACCTGTGTGTGTGTATGTGTGTTCAGAAATATCAACTGACAGCACAAGTTAAAGCGCAACAGCACAGGAGCCCCCTCTCACAATTAATTTTTGCATAAAAACTAACATGTTGTTTGACTGCTGGACAGGTTAGGAGGACTGATGCCTCATTCCTTCCAGTTTTTAAATTTTGTAATACAACTTACCTTGCGTTCACTACATTTGTGTGCTGTTTTAGCCCAGAGAGTGTGTGTATGAATCAAACTAGAGGTGCTACATATGAATTACCCAAGTCTGTAAGGTTCTCCCTAGTTTAAATGGGATAGCAGTTGAAGGGATGAAATGTCTGGCCCTGTCTATAAGCTGTTTTCATTGCAATTTGAAATAATGAATATGCTAAATAAGCAGTGCTGGTATTGTCACTAGCAAGTCATTTAATATGCAGTGTATGTAAAAGCAGACGTTACACTGTAAAATTAAAGAGTTTGTCTAAAAGTGAACTTTTATTATACTTTTTTTTTTTTTTACCAAGTGAAAACCTTAATAGGCAGCCATTATACATTTATTTTTATTTAAGCAGTATCAGCAGAAAGCAACCAGAGCTTAGTTTGCCTTTGAGTCTAAATGCACAGATAGCACGACTTACTATCAAAATTATAATAAAGGTGCACAGTTACTACTACTGCCAGTGCCACAGCATTCAGTATATCTGCATATTTCCCTTAAACAGTTTTACAAGCATCTGCATATTAATCATGTATGTTGTGAACAAATGATAGTTTCCAACATCCATACATACACAAACATACATTGTACATGTCATTTGTCTATACAGGGCCTTAATGCCCAGTCAACTGGCCTCCAAAATGTCTTGCCATCAAATTATGAAATTTATGGCCTGGTTAGAACACGGCATCATCCTGTTCATTATACAACTTTTCCCATACTTTTTGTGCACATTTTGATGCATAAACTTAGGATCCATAGCAATGAAACAAAATATTACAGTAAGTACAGCTGAACCAGTTTTGTTAATACTGTTTATTTTGTTGTACTACACAGCCTTATGTTGGTCCTTGCATGGGGATATGTACATGCACATTGAGAGCCGATGTGCCAGAGTCCACACTCGCTTACTGTTTTTGTTCTATAGAATGTCAATTTTGACTTTTTTCCATTGGGGGTCGCTACAATGAATTGTCAGTGTGACGATTTGCATGTTGACATTTGGCATGTGTTTTATGCCAGATGCCCTTCCAGATGCAACCCTAACTTGAAACCGGGCTGCAGCAGTGGGAGCGCAGCGCCCTAACCACTAGTCTATCAGGGAACTATATTTATTAAACACATAGGCAGGAGCAGTGGACTGTTGCAGACTCGCTTTACATAACAAAGCTTTAGAGAAGGCATGGCTCAAAAGCTCTGAGTTGTTCATCTAGCACCAGTAACTGTGCGGAAAACAGAGAGGAGCAGAGCAGCAGTGTGGATTCAGAATCAGAATCAGCTTTATTGGCCAGGTCTGATGGACACATGAGGAATTTGACTCTGGTACAGCAGCTCTCAATATGTATGTACATATCCTTATGTATGGCAATATCAAAGGGCAAGTAAACAATATAATGCTGAGAGAACAGAAAGTGAAGAAGTAATGTGCAAACAAACAAAGGAGTGTGTATTAGGAAGTGAGATAAAAATAAAGATAAGGTACTTATAGAGACCTGTACATATATGTACGTATGTATAAATATATGCACACAGAGTCTAGATAAATTTGAAGGTTCTGTATGTACAGTGTATATTCACAGGTATTGCACTGGGGGTTATTGACCAGTCATACTGTCGTGGGTTAAATGTTGTAGATGTTTTGACCCATGAGGTGTACAGGTCCTCCATGGAGGGCAGGCTTGCACCAATGATCTTTTCTGCAGTCCTGACGGTCCGCTGAAGTCTGTACTTGTCCTGTTTGGTTGCTGAGCCAAACCAGACAGTGATGGAGGTGCAGAGAACAGACTTGATGATTCCTCTGTAGAACTGTATCAGCAGCTCCTGGGGCAGGTCGAACTTCCTGAGCTGGTGCAGGAACTACACCCTCTCCTGTGCCTTCTTGATGGTGGTCCTGATGTTTTACGTCCACTTCAGGTCCTAGGAGATAGTGGAGCCCAGGAACTTGTAGGACTTTACTGCTGATACAGTGCTGCCACGTATGGTTGGGGGTATAAGGTGGGGGGGGCTCTTCCTGAAGTCCATTGTCATCTCCACTGTTTTGAGCGTGTTCAGCTCTAGGTTGTTGTACACCATAGGACCAGCTGTTTAACCTCCCATCTATTGGCTGACTCGTCACCGTCTTGGATGAGACCAATGACTGTTGTATCATCTGCAAATTTTAGGAGCTTAACAGAGGGGGTTCTTTGAGATGCAGCCGTTGGTGTAGAGTGAAAAGAGCAGAGGGGAGAGCACACATCCCTGGGGGGC